CTTGCAACCAAGACTCATATAACTTTAGTCTTATTTTTAACCACTTCTGAGTTGAAATACAAGCTCTGCTGGATGCTCTGCTGCAAATGACAAAACATGCTCCTGAATTAATGAATGCTTATACAACCTGATTTCATTTTGGTTTCTTGTAGATCACCCATTTCCTTCTTGATTCTCTCTTAGCTGCTCCTCACTGCTTTCCCTGCATAATTTTCCAATCAGCAGTCCTGCATACACACAGGACGAGCAGTTACAGTCAAAAAGCAACACACCTTATTAGCAGTAACTACCAAACCATGTAATAGTTCTTGTGTTTAAAACTCGTGTTTGTGTTTCTTACAGAATAATGCACGATTTACACCATGCTGCACCAAATGAGAATGCAGAAAAGAGCACTAACACAGAGGAAATGAATTTTGACAATTTATTAAAATTTATAAAATATTCATTTTTACCCTTAATAGGCATTACTATTTTGATACCAGTAAACATAGAAGTGAAGGATGACTGACTTAATTTCTCATTCAACAGCTATGCGAGCCAAAGAAAACTAGGATGTTTTATCAAAACAGAAGGGGGGAAAAAAAAAATTAAAAACATAAAATAAATCAAGATTATCCTGTGAAAACCTTTGAACTACAGCTCTGTAATTACACTCTTTAGAGCCAAAGCCGGCATAAGTGCCATTCTGGCACTGCACCAAGTTTTTGGCCAAGTACTTCAAGTGTTAGCTGCTCACACACAAAGGTTTCATCCCTGCAATAACTGAGGGAAAAAAAACAACCCCACAAAGATGATAAAATACGTCTTCAGGCAGCACAAGATAAAACCACTGATCTGTGTCTTCTAAAAGACACACCTGAGTCTTCATGCGTCATGGCTCCTCCCTGTAGCAGGGGTTCCCTGGAACTGAGCCCAGGCCAATAAGCCTGGCAGAACTCTAATTGCTGTGCTCAGTTCTGTGCCCCATCTTTTGAGTCTGCTCTAGTCTGAAAAGCCTGCATTCCAAACTGCTCACACAGAGAATACACTACCAGTGCTCCAGCGGATTTTTTTTTTTTTCCTACACAGACATAAAAAAGTCCATTCTACTGGCTGATTATACAGTGATTTACATCTGTATTGATTCTGATGTCTCCCACCATACAAACTGTCAACACTTTCAAATCCTATATTCTCAAGTATTTGCCATCACTTGCCACCCTCCCCAGGGCATCTCAGTTTTCAGCCCTGAAAAAGGTACCACAGCTTCACGGTGGATTCCACTCTGCAGCGCCATTAACTGTTAGAAAGCCTGGCAAACCACATGCAAATTCACCACAAAGCTACTACAAACACTTCTGCTAACTTTCCTACCCCCTTTCCTTCTTCTAGAGGGCTACATCATGCACATAGTTTGGCTGCAAAATCTTAAAGTTTTCCCTGTAGATCACATGAGATTCAAATAATGAATCCTAAACCATGACAATATAATAATAAAAAAGATAAGTTAGACAAAATTATAGCAAACATTCAGCTATTAGTTAACTCTGAAAACTAAAAGCAAAAGCAGCAGCTCATCAGTGACGCAGGAATCTCTGCTGTGGTGTACTGTTCACTCTCCTATGCCACTTGCTAGTCTCCTTGCAGAATAGGCTCTCTCTGAGCTCTGAAGCATAAAAGAAATGGAAATTTCCACCGACAGGTTCCCCAGCTTTTGCATTTTTGCATAACATTGATAGCACTGCACAACACAGACGAGTGACTGTACTTTCGTCTTACTGTAACAGACCTGCCTCTTTCCAACACACCCAAGCAAGGCTCTTTCCTGGCCTCACCACCCCTATGTTTCTTTCATGTTCACCTCATGAAGATGTGAAAATGGCTGGCAAGTCTCCAGTTAGGAATAAAACATAGCCCTTTTCCATAAACAGCTAAAAATATTTATTACAAAAAAATAAATTTGTGTATCTGTTAGGTATTAGTATATACTGATCCACATTTTCATTACAACCAGGGGTAGCGGACATCAAACAATAGCCACAACTCATTATAAAGAAGTCTAATTTTAATAAAGTACTAAAGGAAACAATCCTGTGTTGGACAACAGCAGATGATGGCATGGTACTTTCTAATACACAGGATCATTTGAAAGGAAACAGATCCAAATGGTTTCTAGGAAGTCTGTGCGATGCAGTGTTTGACAAAAGATTTCTCAATTTCTTTCAAGCACTACAAAAACCTCTTCTTCTCACACAACTTCTAAAAGCAAAGTTTGAGACTTTTCACAAAGGAAATACACATTATAAAGTCAGAAATACTTTTTTAAAGCATGTATATTATTGAATTAATGCACAAGCAGGACTGACTTCCTCCTAAAGCATTCAGGAGTGTCAAAGTCTGTTCAGTAAACAACTCCTGTGATAACTGTCATATTCAGAGGCTGCAAAATCACCATAATAACCATCAAAACACAGGGAAGTATTAACTATTGAAAGAGGCAAATAATGTATGAATATAAATCTAAATAGTAAAGAATAAAATGCCAAAATAAGCCAAAAAGACATTCAGCCACAATTCTACATTCTTAAATTTTCCCTCAATTTTGCCAAAGTAATCTCCCACAGGTTTTTCATTAGAGCTTTCCATCTCCCTCTCTGTACCTGCAACAGACTACAGCTAACAGAATAATGAAGATACTCTCACACTCCTCTTGGAGTAATGATCCCATCAGATTAATGAATGTTAAATTCAGTAAGAAATACCAGGAAGAAAGATGGTCTCATCAGTTAACGGAAATCAGAACCTTTCAGTTCTCTTCTCCCTTCCATTAGAGATCTCTGGTATAATGATGGAAGAAGCATTTAATCTTCAGTATGTAACTAAAAGAACGAGACTTGCAAGATCACAACAATTTACTTCTACCTCTGTTGACCTGGCAATATGGACTTTTGCAAAAGCATTGACAGCTGCCCTTCAGGTCGAACTCCAACCATGTCATGTTACTCCATGCTGTTTAGGTAAAAGGGTTCAAAGTGCAACCATTGCCCTAAACCCCAAAATACTTAATTAAACAAAAAAAATAAAAAAAAAAACCAAACCAAGCACCAAACTAAAAAAAAACCACCAAAAAAAAACCAACAAAAAAATCACCCCAAAAATTAAAAAAAAAAAAAACCAAACAAAAAACAACAAAAAAAAGCATACCACAACTGGTTAGATTTTTACGCCTCTTTTCCCTAAATACCTCTCTAGCAGAGTGTTACGCAGAGGCAAGTAACACTGCAAAGTGGCAGCTCTTGCCACGCGAATACCATAAGAAGTCAAGAGTGGCTGAAAGGACCTGCCAGTTACACATTGACATCTACTGTGTTATTTGGGGAGAAAGAAGAGAGCTGCATTTAGGATTCTGTACTTAAGTATGTTCAACGTATTGTGAAAGTGTCTGGTATGCAGGAGGAGTGTGTCACAGGGCACAACAACAACAGAACAAAAGATGCAGACATGCAGAATCAAGGGTATGCAAAGTCATTAAACTGTCCTTCCAGAGATACAACTTCAGCTCAGCCACGGACACCATGCACACCACTCTCCAGTCTCGAGAAGAAGTCTGTCTAACTTACTCTGAACGTGAGCTAGATCTAGCATTCACTGTGAAACCACTCGCATTACACCAGCAAAGCCATCACATATTTTATGCTGATGCTCTTATACATACTTGTTCTCACACTCTTGTAAATCCTACTAGCAAGTATAGAACTGTGTGGCATAAAAAGACAGTCTTCAATTGTTGTTATCAGGCTGCTGTGATGCTTGTTAAAAAAAAAAGCAAGCTGGCAACAGAAACAGAGACTACCTTCTCCCGGCAGCTGCTGCTTTTCAACTTGCCAGGATAAGTGGTGACAATACTAGCAGAATGGAGACAAAAGCAGCAAAAGCAAGAAAGCCCAGTAACTGCACTGGTTCTGTTCTGCATGCCACCTGGTTACCCAGTCACAGCTCTCAGTTCATCTAATCTATCTACTAAGTATTCCTCAATAGATCATGCATGCCCAGGGTACAAAGATCATTTAATTCCGTATTTCACGCTAATTTTTGATGTCATTTTGGCTTATAAACAGCTACTGCACATGTGTAAATTGAAACATTAATAAATGACACTAAAAACAAGTTTAAAAAAAAAACCACAAAGAAGCCTAAAAACCTCTGGGACTGACCTCTAACGGTGTTCTAAAATAAAACAGAACATGTGCATATATGTATGTGTACTGTCCAAAAAAGCTGATGCAAATATTGTCCTTGAAGCTGACAGATCTTTTGCTAGAGTGACTTAAAATGATTTTGTGACCTGTGTTTATGCAACCCAATCTTAAAGTTTAACTCATAATACAGCACAGAAACAGAGACTTGTACAAAAGGAATGTGCACTGCCAACAGTTCTCTGCCTAAAACTTTTAGTATTTGAGAATGCATTGAGCATTGCCAGTCAATGTTTAATAGCTATAGTTTAATACGTTATATGTTTAATAGTTATATGTGTAAGCAATTCAAACACCTGATTTTCACAGAAAACACGTAAATTTTTACACAACTACCCAACTATTGTATTAATCTGTGTAAGAAAATATATGCAGCACAGCTGTCCCAATATAAAAACAGTTTAAGAGAGAAAAACGGGCTACTGTAAATACAGCATCTGTCAAAGTTAAGTAACTACAGCCTGCATTTTTTTCCCACTTGATCCACAAACAGTAATTACTGGCACTAGCAGGAGGTTTTTCCTTCCAAACAGAGTCTACCCGAAGACAATTTTAGCTCTATTTAATGTTGCTTAATTTTGCCACATTTCAAAGATCCTTCTGCTGCTAGTATTCATATTATATACAAGTAAAATGTCTACTTTATTCAGCATAGAAAACACTCATACACAATCTTTAACTGCAGTAGAAAGTACAGTTCAAAGCCCAAACTTAAGAGATTTGCAGCTATTTTCAACAGAGTAAGAATCTGCATGAACTTACAGTAAGATTCCAGTTGATCTGTGGTATTCTTGTGTGAAGATTTAGACTGAACATAAGCAACAGAACTCCAGTAACCACCAAAGCGCTACAGCTCACAAATTCAAAGAAATAAAGGCCTTCGCAAGGGGAGCATTCCATGATGGTCTCTATGCAGATGAACGCAATCAGTGCCAAAACCTAGGAAGAAAAACAAGTGGAAAAAAAAAAAAATAAATAGATTTCCACATTTTGAAAGTAGCCACAAGTATTCCTGAAATTTCCATTGGGAACATGATCGGTTTACACTCAGGAATGTGTGATTTTAGTTTATAACAAGGCACTGTCTAAAGAGAAAAAAAAAACAAAAGCAAATTAATGCAAGACTTTCTGGATATCTCCTATTCAACAAGTATATTTTAGCAAAATTACAAGCAGTCTAACATCAAAATAACTGAGACACCCAGAAATGCATGAAACCCCTTCAGGACACTGGCTTAACATGCAAATAGCACTTAAAACATTTTATTTCATTTTTCACTCATTATATGCTATTCCAAAACTTGGAATGCATTTGTCTATTGGGCCAACCTCAAGTCAACTATATAGTATTAATATACTGTGACTGTGAAAGACATTTAAATCAAGCTCTCATTTAAATTTCACTACCAGATTGAGATCTAAATATATTCAAAATAAAATAGATTCAGGATCTCTACCAGCCTCCAAAAATCCCTTTTCATGTTTATCATCAATATACTGTTTTTCATATTAAAGCATGTATTATCATTCCTTTGTAAGACAATAAAATCAGCAGCTAACAGAGGAAGGACAAACTCCTGGTGATGCAAATACATATAAATCAGATAACTGTTAGTCTAAATTCTGAAGAATCTCGGTAGAGTTAAATGCAAACTTTTGCAAGAAAAAAGTTTAATTTACTGTTCAGGATAAATCAGTAAATCTCACCATTCTTAGTCTGCCCAATGGAGGAAACTAAAATATATAAAAATTATATACCAATATTAGCTACCACTGACAGCTACCACCTAGATACCACTGATTAGCCACCACAGTGTATACAACTTACATATCTAAGACTGTATTTCAAAGAATTCCTCTTTAAATGTAACTGGTAAAAGAAAAACAGTAGCATGGACAGTTTGATTTTATTGGGTATTTTTAATGTTCACAGCAAGCAAGAAAGGCCTTAAGAGTGTTTTGCTTCAGTTTTCAAGACAACCACCCCCCTACCCACCCACTTACATTTTTCAGAAATAATTCACTTTTTTGCTCTGCCACAAAATTCTACTGAGACTATAGTAAGTCGCTTCAATTTGAAGATGACAGCCTCCTCACAGCCAAATATTCCCCAATTTGAAGGCTTTGTGCAAACAAAACCCAAGTTTAAAAGATTGACAGAAGCCACAATACAAATCAATTTGTAAATCCTTCTTTGCCAATTTCAATAATGCTTTCTTCCAGCACTTTTTATGCTTTACCTATTGATTTGTCTTTGTCTTCTGCAACAGAAGAAGCAAAATGAAGAAAGAGGATTTTGAAAGATGTTACCATTTTGACATTAGCAGTTATTCTGAGGACAATACCCACATGCTTCATTCACTACAGACTTCAGAATACAGCAGCTAATTTTAAAAGAAATTAAAACAAACCAAAATAGTTTTTATCAAAAATCTCACAATTGCGTAGAAAGTCTCCCATAGTTCACTTTGCACAGTCTCTTTAAGAGAACATACAAGTCATTGTTTTTCGTAAAGCTCAAAAAAAGAAACCTTAGCTATTTCAAGCACAATCAATATCATCTAATGCAAAATGATAACTGGCAAAACTTTACCTTTTAGATGTTCCAATAAAGTCTCCACTGTTCTTACCACAATTTTTGATATGACACTTAAAATTTTTATTATTTTAAAAGCAATGGTTTCTGTAATATTCTCTAAAAATACTGGAGCACAAGCCCAAACAATATTAGGTTTATTTTATGAAAACACAAACAGCTCTGAATTGTGCCATTAGCAGTAGGCTGAAGGAGCCAGAAGCTCTGGCAATCACTACTCTGGACAACTGCTACTTGGCATACAGAGTCTCTGCTTTTTTGCTGATAAACATCTTCCACTGACTCTTCTCCATACCAGACAGCATTGCTTCTGCAAGGCTGAGGTACCCATCTTAGCAGTCAAAGCTCAAAACAGATGAAAGATTTTCTTACATACAGGATTAGAAATAAATTAGGTGCTGAAGAGTCACTTGAAGCAGTGAATTCTAATCATTGTATGTTATTTATACATTCTTGAGCTCAGAATAGTTAATAAACTTCAGAGCAATTCTACCTTAAGACTTCATTTTATTGCTTAAGGAATTACAAAATACATTTGCCTGTGACACCTTTCATACTCTGATTAAAAAAAAAAAAAAAAAGGTGTGAACATTTAAGTTTGACTTAATAACCCAAACCATTCTAAAGGCAGGCAAAGATGTGCCATCAGTTTAACTAATGTGGTGGCATTAGTGCACAGTGGTCTAGGTTGGGACAGCCCAGATCTATTGATACATTTATCAGAAAGACTGGGAGAAAACCTCAATTGCTTCAGCCACGAAGTGGAGGCTGTGTTTTGGGAATACACACAATAACTATCAACAGGAGTATTATCATCACAGAGCAGACTGGGACACCTGAACACTTGTTGGTTGGGGCACAGGAAAAGGAGAACATTCCCATGAATATCATTTACTTGTAACACTTTTGTACTTCAAGTAAGATTCCAACTGTGCTACTGTTTCTCCTGCAATAAAAATGTATTTCACCCTTCTCAAAGATCACCCATTCTGCCAGTGCTACAGCTAATACCTTTCTGTTAACTGCCCATTATTTGTTTTACAATGAATATTATGACAAAAAATAAAATCCGAATTCACCACCGCACCAGAAAGCACTATCCTCCCACACAAGCTTTCCTTTTCATAAATATGACAGAAATCTCAGTCTTTAATAAAAAATACTTTCTTTGAAGCATCAGGGTAATCTTGCCCTCCTACACATTTATGAACTTGCCAGAAGCATCCTTCCAATTAACTACAAGTTATGTGACTCTTCCATAAAAGCACACTAATGCTGCTTTCACTGGGCACTCTACTCTGAGTCTAAGTTTCTTTCTAATAAATACAGCAAACTACTCTGAACGTATGAAATGAACACAGAATACATTATAGAATCAAACCCATGATTGACTCAGCTAAATTACTTAGAAGGGTTGTGTAAATGCTCTAACATGAGACAAATCAGCTTGCCAAGGGACATGATGAACTACTACCGGTTCATCCAGTAGTGAATTAATACAACTCTGCTACCAAAAATACCACTTGATTGATGTGGCCAGTAAGTAAACTGATACAATCATAAGCGTGCCCCCAGAGTGTCCCACTGCAAACTGCAGAGAGAGCAGAAGTCAGTCTTGATCCCAGCTACCCCAGTTTATTTTCTGAGGGACTTCAATGCAGGTTTAGCACTAACCATTTTCTCCTCTCACAGAGCTCTGTAATTATAATGAAAACATCTTTCTAACCTATGTTTATCTCCACTGCCTGTCTTCTACCCTTCACTGCCTACTGAATTAGCTAATCTACATGCAGCTCACAACTTACTGAGGCTCAAAGATGCAAAAAGTCACTTCCCACACAATTCCCTCTGCCACACCACACGTCCAAAATAAAAACTGGTGCCTTGTCTTACCACATTGACTGTACGTGCTCTCTGGGGAAGAAAAGAGAACAAAGACACTCCAACACCCTTAGCAAGGATCCATGCTCCATCCAGACACCACTTGAGGGTGCAGACTCACACTGCCCCAGGTGATTACAGCACAAAGCAGCAGCAGAGAAAACTCAAACTTCCCAGCTGATAAACCTTTGCCCTTGCTTTGTAACACAAGTCACCAGTGCTACCTTGGAAAAACATGAGACTGGATTTTCTGGGCCTGTGTCTGCCTCCAATGGCTGCAGTTACAGGACATCGTATCGGAGCACAAGTTTTGGCCAACAAAACACATGCTGCCACTTTTTCAGTGCAGGAGGTGACCCTGGCTTTCAAGTCACACCTCATAATTTAGGGTGAGGAGTTTTGAGGAGTTTTTCCACAAGCTGAAGTTTCAAGGCTTCTATACTTCATAAAAATGAGAAGTTGAACGTGAAGGAGATATTCTCTTACATGAATTACTGCTCTCTCCCTCAAACAACACAGCTACAGCTTTCTCAGGCATAGTCAATAGACCAAGTTTCCTCTATTGGATAAAACAAACCTTTTCACCTGTTTTTCTCTGAACTGGGTACTTTGGAGAGTTTTCTATTCTACCCAAATTCCTCCTATGCCTCAAGCTCTGTATAATTCTCTTTTATTACTATCTTTCACAGTTGCTTTTGGTTTCCCTTTTACTTCCAACTCTTCTTGAAGTAAGCATGGAGGATTTTGCAGTGGATACGTAACTCTGTCATGCTGGAAACATCGGCTTATTCTACTCAATGCTTGGGTTCATGCAGAGCCAACCTAGGCTGCCTGCAAAGCCACCTTCTTCTTGGACAAAGGACATACAAGAGTCTGGTCAACAAAAAAAGGATCAACAAGAATGAGCTTCAGGATAAGCTACGCAAAGGTCTGAGTCTGCCCAGGCTTGCAACCCAATGTGTGCAATACAGCTCTAATTCTGTGACAGGTGGAGTTTGCCTTGTAAATGAAGTAAATGGAGCAAATTTGCCCTGCCCTTCCTCCCTCATCTCCCACCACCACACGATGCAAACGCACAAGAAAAAAAGAAAAAAACAAAACTCCAAGTAGAGGATTAAGCACGAGATGTTATTTCCCAATATTGATGTTTTGTGTGTTTTGTCTTGAATAAACTGGCAAACTGTTACCCACTGTTACTGTTTGGGACTTTCAGGACTGCTAAGGTACAGTGTGAGGGTAGCACTGAACCCCAACTGAAGGCTCCATTCAGAGTAAAGCACACCCTTACTGGAAGGGGATGATGCAGTCACAATTTAGGGCCATTTAAGTCCTGAAAGAGAGCCTCTATACTGGGATCCAATGTCCTTTAATTTAACCACATTATCCTCCTAGCATTATAGTATTCATCTCAACTTTCCTGTAAATTCCCCTGGAGAAGGGCCCTTAATGAAGAAATCATCTG